AGGGGCACCACTTGTACTGCAGCGGCAGTAGAAGCAAGATAGCCTGACGGAGTCTAACCCTTCACCTCGACTGATTGCCACCCAAGGCTATAGAAAGTCTGTCTTGCTATTTACCCATAGCTGGGGAAGAAGTGCTAGATTCATACCTTTCGCATGGATATTAGCGTGTAAGTGAATGTAATGAACTTCAACCTGAATTCGGCTCAAGAACTAAGACACCATATTCTAATTCGGATATTTATACGTGTATATATATATATATATATATATATATATATATATATATATATATATATATATATATATATATAAGTCTAAGTTCAATTCTATTCAAAGCTCACATATGTGACCTTGTACGACACTAAACTGTGATTAGTAAAAACATACTTTGTTGTGCGGCACTGGTGAGCAAGCTTGTTTCACTGACTATTACTACTATAATATGCTTGATACTTTTTGGATGGTCCTTTTTGTGGCCTTGTTCCAGGCTACATTAAAATGAGTGAAAATTGATATCGATACTCCTGTCCTAAGTTATGTACATGGTGTGCTGCGTAAATGTATATAAATCAGGCCAATTTACCTATGTTTTGTGAATGTATGTATGAATACTTTTATGATAAAATGGAACTGTCAATCGATGTGCTACCCAAAACTTTTGACCATGTAAAATTAAACTTACTGATCCTAACAACCATTCCGGTATCTCTTTCGAAGTAATGTCCTTTGACCTTCGACGAGCACTGCTTACAAAGGCTAGTGACAAAAGTCTAAAATAGATTCAGTTCACACGCGCTGTTCATAATTTCCCCGAACTGTTTTATATTCAGGGTCTGCAAAGCAGCGCGTAAGATGACAAGTTAACTTTTCATTCAAACGTCGTGAACTTGCACAAACAAATGTGGGTTGAAAGGCAAGTTTTCTGGGGGGTTGGCAGAGAAAAAAAAACGAAGAGAGAGAAAGAATGAATGAATGAATGAATTAGTTAGATCAGATGGGATCACAGGAGTGGGTGGGTAAAAAGAAGGACAAAAGAGGCAGAGAGGATGACATAATAAAAGAGACTTTTTTTTTGTCCTCCTCCACTATAACACAGAACAATGATTCGTGATATTCCGAAATGAAAGGAAAAAAAATAGGAAATACCCTCAAAACTGCAATAAAAAGGTGGAAAAAGAGAACAGTAAAAAAAATTTAATTCAGGAAAAAACCCAATGAAAAATTAAAAAAGGTTTCTCCTCCCCCCCCATACTTTTAAGTAAGTAATGAAAAAATAAAAGTGACAGGAAAACTGTGTTCATGTATAATCAACCAAGAGGTGTTTAATACACACACACACACACACACACACACACACACACACACACACACACACATACATACAACACACGTGCAGATACACACGCACATATCGATATTGAATGGGATTTTTTATCTATTATTTCTATAGAAAAGGCCATGTTTCATCTATAAAATCGGTTTTTTTCTGATAAAAAAGTGGATACTGGTTCGATTCCTGACAGAGGGACAATCTTTATTTTGTAGGACTTCTCAATCCAGGCCAGTTGTTAATACTTTCATGTTTAAAAAAATAAAAAACAGAGATAACAACTCAAATACCTGTAGACACTAAAAAATAATGTTTATAATAAAGACACGCACAATTATATGATTTTTATTATACTCTTCCACCACACTCAAACACGCAAATACATACATACATTATATATACATACATATATATATATGTATATATATACATATATATATATATATATATATATATATATATATATATATATATATATATATATATATAGATACATGAATTATTCACACAAAACTAATGCAAAGGTTAATGATTTAAATGGCGAGACATCCATCATCGCAAACAATTCAAATAGTATACAAAAACCTCCAGATCCGTTATGAATGAATTGATCCTTGTTTATATAAATTTCTGCCGTATTAGTTCTTATTTTTACTACAAGCTTTCGTCTGTTCCTACAGACATCTTCAGGTATAGAATAGATGTTGTTCTTGTTTTTTCTCTTAGTAATAAGAGGACAACGAAAATATGTGTTGTTGTATCCGAAAATGCTATTGAAAATGAGTTATTGGTTTTGGAACGCGCAAAAAGCAACGCTGAGTTTGATTTTAAATTTTAAAAGTAATTGCGTTTATACCAAATATGGTGTTGAACAAATTTTTTTTACTGGTAAATTTTTCTGTCAAAGTGGCATGAACTATATTGTTCAATAATTACAGTAATGTCGCACTTATTATCCATATATAATCAAATAAATAAATATAAATAAATGTACGTGTAAGTGCTCACATACAAATACATGCATATATCCTTTGTTGTAAGTAAAACAGCGCTCAATGCTAAATAACACTGCTATTAAGTATATAATAGTAAAAATACATTGTACACTGCCAGTACGACTCAGAGTTTCATGAAATCATCAGGTTTTATTTTTTGTATTTAGTTGACATG